GTGGAGTTACACGCAACTGGGAATGGACGTATAAAACACGTGAACCTGGGGCTGGAAACCCGGGAAAGATATCGCAGAAGCACACACTGACTCTATGTGTGTGTGTGTGTGTTTGCTTGGAAAGGGAGAAAGGACGAGGGTGCAATCGAATAATTTTTAGTTGATGATTTTGTCCGGGGTCTGGGTTGGTTGCCGCTCACGAACACAATCATTTATAAAGGTTGATGCCGAGGGTGGCTGCGGAGGGTAGATGACGGTCCGGCTGTGTAGAGTCAGGAGGGGGGGGGGGCTTTTGAGGGCTGGGCGCCAGCTAAAATTCATTATTTAACTATTTTTTCCTCTCCCCTTGTATTGATCCCGGAGTCATTCAAAATGGCGGCCTACCGTAGTCAGCCAATGACTGTCTGAATCGATGACTGCAGCGAGCTACCCCTGGAACGGGCAATAGGGAGGCCAATGGGATCCCACCAACGCCACACCACTACCACTCAAACGTTTGCTGACTACCACCACACGCTCACCCTAAAACATCATACACACACTCACATTTGGTGACGGGGGAAACAACTCCACCCTGACTCGGTGGGGGAACGAATGCGTCGATGACCTCGCCTGGTAAATCATTTTCCGAATATTTTTTGAGAATATAAAACCCCGGGTAAAAATTATCAATGCTCTGCTAATTCAGGCTCCGGGAATTCCCGGCTGGCTTTATCATCACCACCACTATCATCATCACCATCATCATCGGCCCGGGTAAAATAAAGGAGATGATGATAATGGTGATGATGATGATGATGATGATGGTGATGATGGTGGCAACAAAACTGGAAATTCTTTGGAGCTGATCCGAGTTGCTCGATGACGCTGGAAGTCATCAGACGACATGTTGCTGTCGGATTATCATAACGTGTGTCATTGGCTCTAAACCGGGTTCTATTATGCAGTAGCTGGAAGCTAGAAGCTAGAAGAGAAGAGGATCAGATTTGAGATTCTTCATGGCCGAGCTAATCTATTTTGATAGCTACTGCCAGACGTCATAGATCGTAGTTATGCTGAGTAGTCTTGGCTGCTAGCCATTTGTTAATGTCTTCAATGAACGTCTCAATTGTTGGGACAACTCCTTCAATCATCAATGATTCATCCAAAAGATTTTATAAAATTCTAGCGCAAATGGACTCTTTATAAATACATCAACATTCACAGAGAATCTTTTAGTCTAAGAGAATAGCAAAACACACTTGAATTGCATTAGAGCAACCTTCCACGCTTCCCGAAAATTCTAAGGGTATAAGTTGGGCTAGGTCCGGTTTGTTAGGGCCGATACCATCAGGATCGATATTCCCTTTACTAACTTGTTATAAAATCCTCTACGATGATGACACCAGCATCAATATCACAATGATCGCAGCAATAGCGACAATAAAAACTATTATTCTCCTCTTGAATTTAAATAGATAATACCCAATAAAATCTAATAAAAGCTTTTCGTTCAGGCTGTACAAACTCTTAATGCCTTTTTCTAACGGCAGTTTTTCTATTAAGCTTCATTTGTTTCTTTCAATTGCGTAATATAAAATACCGGACGACGTCGCTCATTTAATCCTACTCTCCCACTCACCAGTTAGCTAAACGGTTTTTTTTATATACACTTAGTTTGGACATGAACCCTTGTTGGGATCTAGTCTGAGTTTCCGCCACCAGACGGCAGCTCTATCCGGGGTTGAGGGTTGAGGCAGCTCCTAACGTTAAGCAAAATTCAAACTTTCTCTCCAGCATCAGAACAAATTTCTGTTTAAACAAAAATTCCAATTCAATGACCACCTTGCAATGTATCTATAAAAATAATTGCAACAACTGTTGGCAATTGCAAGTACTTGATAGCGGGTGGCAGCTGGTGATAGCGATCAGTGATCAGGTGGCGCAATTGGGGTGTTTATTTTTTACCCGATTCAGATCTACACCCACTATCCTCCGGCTGGTTCTCACCTGTTTCCAAAGCACCAAGTCTTATTTGTAATTTAAAGTAAGTACCCACTAGCCGGATGGGTAAATTCTTTGATCAATGCCAGGACAATCAACCGAACAAAGTAACTAGTCAAAGTGGAAGGGGTAAGCTGTCCCTTTGCGCATTCTCTCGGGGTTAGATAAAAGAATGTAGGTGGGATTTTTTTTCCGTCGCCCGGCTGATTGGCTGATTTTTTTACGCTCTGAAGACTGTAACCCTCCCACAGACGGCCACCCCGCTCTTTTTTTTAACCAAACACCTGGACGGCGCGTGCCAGCCACGTGGAAGACTTTAAAAGGCGGGTTGTTTTTGTCACCCGGCTGACCGTTCCTAATTGGAGCAGGTAGCTGCTCACTTAGAAGATCCAAAGCAAGGATGCTAAAGCTAGATCCAGCTAGATCCAAAGATTCTAAGGAGTCAGAGTGGGAGTAAGAATAATTACGACAATTATGGCCACCCTCTTACCAGTTAGTCACGCATGTGTTGCTCCGTGCGTAAAAAAGTGTAGCCCCTTTTTCTTCGAAAAAATAGAGTCCCCTCCTACCTCCTACAGATATTCCGCACCCCCTTTAGGGTTTTTTTGTCCGTCAGTACCCTTCGGGAAGTTGTAGAGTGTAGATGTCTAGTTGGAAAGTGTTGCGTCCAGAGTGAGGGAAAAAGTAAGACAACTGATAAGGCGAGGAGATAGAAGGTAGGAGCTTTTTCCCCAGTTGGAAATATTCTCCCTTGAATTTTCTCTCCCACGCTTCTGAAAAGCCGCACGGAAGGGGAGCCTTTCTCGAGAGCTTGGACTCTTCTCCTCAATCCTCGTCGTCTCAAGCTTCGAAGCGCGCACAGAAGCTTGAGCCCCTTGAACCTAAAAGTGGGGGGTGACTACCACCCGTAGAGGGGCTGAGAAAACTCGCCAGGACCAGCGTTTTTGTGAGTATTACCTTACGGAGGACCGCGGTGATATTCTCGGGTCTCCTCTGGAGGACCCGAGAACCGGCTGGACTTAAGTGGTGTTAGATTCCTCGTATGGTGGGACACCCTTACTCGGTACGTAAGTAAACAAACCGTCGGATCTAAGAACGGAATAAGAGAAGGACACTCGCGGCCGCGCACCACCTAAGACAACGCCCCTACCTCAGTCGCGTTCTTTAAGGCAAGGGGGTGGTTTAGACGCACGCGGTCTGAGACGCGCGCCACCACCGGCCACGGAGAAGGACTTAGCATTTCTCACGAGCCACAGACTCGAGTCAGTTCGGTTCCTCCTCCGTCAAGGACTCGTACACGGAAGAGGAAAACACGTCGCGGTATTCTTATAAGATAACTTAACTGATTGTTATCCTTCAGAGCCACTATCATCAGTTCTTAAAATTACTAAGTCTTAGTAACTTAGTAACTACCCCCAGTGGATTACTTGACCAGTGTCCAATACCTCAAAGGTGGTTGGTGTGTTTTTCTTGTTTTTGTTGTTAGTTTGATGCTCCGTCAGGACATCTTGGTGCTCCTTCAGGACATCTTGGTGCTAGATTGGATGAATTCACCAACTGTCAAAGCTTAGTAATGTCATGTGTGTAACAACACCGGTGAGTGGGTCACGGCAACCACTGAGATTTAACCACATGTCGTTGTATGAAGTTGTTGTAGGATTGTCAACAAAAGAAATAGAAAGTGAATGTAAAAGTAATATTAGTGATAGCAGTCATTTTTGGTTGAATTTATCATACCCAATTATTATTACCAGCTTGGTGGTATACTATCATCCTAGCTATTGATGTAAGAATATAAGAAAGACATCTGTCAGTACTTTCATTTAAAAACCTAGCTATTGGTAGTGACGTTTTTTTTTTTTTCCTTTTCATTTCCGTCCCCTTTTTTTTATATGAATGGGACGTCGCTCAACGGAACTTTTAAAAACGATATATTAACTTTCGCGATCATGTGTTAATAAAGTTCTTGAATTAAAATTATACATGGAATTTTTATAAGTGACGTTGACCGACGGCCAGACGATTGTATTTTTGATGATGATGATGATGATGATGATGATGATGATGATGATGATGATGGTGATGATAATGGTTTAATCATATATGTTACAGCTTCGAGCGGGAGACGCATTGCAGCGGAAGATTCCCGCGTAGGAGAGGAAGACTGGACAAAGCGGAAGAAGCAGATTAAGACGAGGGAAGTCAAAACTAAAAGGAGAAGAAGGATTAGTCGCTAAGTCGCAAACACTTGGGGGGTGAAGAAAGAATCACTGATTATTTATCGAAGAGTGAAGGGCGCGAGTGTAATGTGGTATAACGTCCAGTGAAAAAGAGTGCATCAACCCCCCCGAGATAATCCGCTTGAAGGCCGCATTATTGTATATTTCAGTGTGTTCAAAAAACGAGTGTACCTAAGTGCAATATTTATAAAAATTAACAAAAAAAAAAAAAAAAACATTTACGATAGTTGTAATATGCGGTAAAATCAAGTTGAGATAATAACAGTGATGGTGCAGACTACGAATCTTTGAATAGAGTCGCATATTCCTTACCCGAGCTGGAATCGTCGGACTGTTGAGTTATTGTAATAATAATTCTTACTTATCAAGATATATTGGTGATCGACACCGTTCCGTACTGATATAATAAATAAAAACACGGTCGCTAAAATAGTGACCACTGACACACGCACACACACAACACGAACAAAAAACGGGGCTTTAACTCAGGGCAAAACGGTACGAGTGTTGAATTATTAAAAACCCACCAGTGAAAAAAAACAAGTCCGTAAGATTCCGTCTCGTTACACCGTCCGGGCTGGGCAATCCTGAATAAAATTAGACTAATCGTAATAGTAAGAACATAATTAATTAAGATAACCTGAACAAAGTGTAGCTAGAAACAATCGTAATTTATAAACTTAGTGTTCTACGCCAAGAACACGCGCGTAATAGAATAATTATAATTGTAATCCTAAATAAAATTGAGACAGTGCGACAGTGATAAAAACCTGCTTGATGTTGATCATCACTAATTGCTTAGCTGACCTCCTGGTAAGGAAGAGAGTCCTGGGGCCGGGGACCACTACTAATCAAGGCCACTAAGAGTCGTCCTCGCCGGTGCCTTAGAGGTTGAAGTGTGCCAAAAAAGCGGGCAAGCTGCGCCGTAAAGGGGTAGCACGGGCTTCGCGCGAAGGCCTCAAGATTTCGGACGCGACGGCCCTGGACCTGCGCGCCCAGTCGCAAGCCCATCCGGATTTTGTTGGCCTGGAGCAGCAGCACCACCATCAGCAGCAGCACCAGGTCCAAAGTCCGGATCACATTACCCATCACCAGAACAGACACCTGCTCCAGCAACATCACCATCATCTCGCAAACCACGCTGGAGATTCGGGGGGTGGGTTAGGCGGCGGAGGACCGGGACCTGGTATCAGTCCTGGGCTCACTGTCGACCCGAATTCTGTCAGCATTCAGAATCAGGTCGCAGTGGCCGCCGCAGCCATCGAGGAGGCTAGGAGGCTCCAAGAGGAAGACGAGGACATCACAGAAAGGGAAGACGAGGAGGAAGACGAGGAGCCGAGTTCTCCTGAGCCGGACCTTGAGCCGGACCAAGAGCCCATGGAGGTCCAGGCCTCCGCGGTTTCTGCTGCTGCGGCTAATCTGCACGCGCTCAGGCAGCATGTCTTTAAGATGTCCGACTACTGGCAGCAGCCGCAACGGGGGCCGCCGCAGAGTTCTCCTGGGCTGCAGCACAGTCCGCTGCAGAACCAGCAGATCCAGGTCCAGCAGCAACAGCAGCAACAACAACAACAACAGCAGCAACAACAACAACAGCAGCAGCAACAACAGCAGCAGGGGCAGCAGCAGCATCAGGTGCACAGTCCAATGCACAGTCCTCTGGGCCAGCAGAACCAGGGCGCCAACAGCGGCATGCCAAGCAATTCTAGCCTTGGACCAAGTCCCAATGCGATGCACCACGCGATGGCAATGACTCAGAACTCCCAGCAGCAGTCATCGCCTGCTCCTACGACGCCGTCGCCGCATCAAAGAGAGCACCAGGGCACAATTAGCTCGTCTATGGCCCAGAGTTTGCACAATCTTGCTCAAGCTCAAGCTCAAGCTCAAGCTCAGCAGACGATGTCGCAGGCTTCGAGTCCGTCGCTGACCGTCCAGGCCGTCCAGGCTGCTCAAGCGCTTAATCAGAATCTTGGACAGGCACTGAGTCAGGCGCTCAGCCAGAATATGCAGCAGAACCTCGGACAGACGCTTCAGCACAATTTGCAGAGTCTGTCGCCCCAACAGCAGATGAATCAGCTGAACCAGCCGCAGAATCTGAGTCAGAGTCAGAATCTTCAACAGAGCTTGCAGCAAAATCAGGCGCAGAATTTGAGTCAGTCTCTGCAACAGCAAGCTCAGAATCTGAGTCAGAATCTTCAGGGGCTTAATCAGCAGGCCCTTCAGCAGCAGGCGCAAAATTTAAGTCAGAGCTTGAATCAGCAGAGCTTGCAGCAGCAGGCTATTAATATGGCGGGCATGAATCAGAATGGAGGAGTTCCGGGGATGAATGTTCAGAATCAGCAGAATTCGCAGAATTCTATGATGAGTCCCGGGACGGGCAGTCAGGACTCGCATGACGCTACTCTCACGGAAAAACTTGTCAATGAACTTCAGGTGAGTTGCTTTTTTTATTTGGCTTAAAGGTGCGGGATTTTAGTGTTTGTGCGGGGATTTAAGGCTAGTTCTTGGGATCTATCGGTGGTAGAAGATTCTTTTTGGGCTTAAAATTTTCGGGAAACTGTACTGTAACTTTTCTACTGAAAAATTGTTCGAATAAATTTTCTAATTCTTGGAAAAATTAGTTAAAAGTTAAAAATACGGAAAAATTCAGAAAATTGCTAAATTTCGGAGTTTCAAGTTTTAAATTGTCATTTCTCGGGATTGGATGGTGTTAGAAGTTTCTTTTTGGGCTTAAAATTTTCGGTAGACTCTATAGAAACTTTTGTACTTAAAAATTTTAGAAAAATTTTTCTAATTCCTGAAAAAATTAAATTAGAAGTTGAAAATACGTAAAATTGCGGAATTTCGGAGTTTTTAAGCTTAAAAAAGTTATTTCTCGGGTTCTGTTGGTGTGAAAAATAAAATTTCAAGCTTAAAACTTTCAGTAGACTCTATTGTAACTTTTCTACTGAAAAATTTTGGAAAAATTTTTCTAAATTAAAAAAAAAAGCTAGTTAGAAGTTAAAAATGCGTAAAATTACTAATTTTCGGAGTTTCAAGTTCTAAATTGTCATTTCTCGGAATTGGAGTGTGCTAGAAGTTTCTTTTAGGGCTTAAAATTTTCGTTCGACTCTATATTAACTTTTGTACTGAAAAATTTTTCCAAAATTTTTCTGAATTCCAAAAAAAATTAGATTAGAAGTTGAAAATGCGCAAAATTGCTAAAAATCGCTAATTTTCGGAGTTTCAAGTTTTAAATTGTCATTTCTCAGAATTGGATTGTGCTAGAAATTTTTTTTTTTAGCTTAAAATTTTCGTTAGACTCTATAGTAACTTTTGTACTGAAAAATTAGTGGATTAATTTTTTTAATTCCAAAAAAAAATAAGTTTAAAGTCAAAAAATCGCAAAATTGCTAATTTTCGGAGTTTAAAATTTAAAAAAAGTAATTTTTTAGATTCTGTTGGTGCAAAAATTATAATTTCCAGTTTGAGAGTTTGAGTAGACTCTATAGTAACTTTTCTACTGAAAAATTTAGAAATAACAATAATATTAATATTATTAAAAGAAAGGATTCGTTAGCCGTAAAATGGTCGATAAAAAAGCAATTAGTCGGCGTTAAAAATAATAGTCTCGTTACAATTAGCTAAAGGCAGTATCGTAAACAAGACTGTAGGTAAATGTTGAGCTTTAGTTACTGCCGATGATTATAGACCGGGTGATTATCAGGTCATAGAATTCTAAATCGGGATCAAAGACACAAATCCATCTATAAGGCATACGTATGCATAAGTACACTTATATAAATAGATTTAGTTATAGATTAAGTTAACTTGGTTGTTAATATAATGTAAATTGTAATAAATAGTTAATTACAAGGTATGAATGTATTTAAGATCTAATGGGTTGTTTCCTTATGCTTTGGGCTGCCCTAAATAAAACGCAGTCTCGTGCTACGGCTGCTGGTCTAGGTGGTGGTGGACCCGGTGCCGGGGGTGGAGGAATGGCTAACATCAACGAACGCACCCTCGAGGAATGCTGGTCAACTCTGCAGCGAGTGAGTTGAATACCCAACCCACCATTTTATATTTAATATTTTTCCTGCATTTTTTTTTCTAATATACTTTTTGCATGTAATACTTTTTGCATGGATTAGAATAAGGATTTTTATTAATATATTGGCTCAAATGTTACTTAGGGCAAAACAAGTTATTTAAGTCAATTCTTAAAGTTAAGAATTTTTTTTTATTAAATTTTAGATTTCGTCTTATTAAATAATGAATTTTGTTAAATTGGACTGTACCTTCTTGAATATTGAAATTTTTTAAGATATAAGCTCATCCCGATGTTACACTCATCAAGAGCTTTCATTTGAGTACCCACATGCATTTTTGATATATTTTTTATATATACATATATATACAATATATATTTTGAAGATATAAGCTCATCCTGAGGTTACACTCATTAAGAGCTTTCATTTGAATACCCACATACATTTTTCATATATTTTTCATATAAACATATATATAATATATATATAAATATATAAAATATATGAAAAATTGATGTGGGTACTTAAATGAAAGGCCTCGATGAGTGTAACATCAGGATGAGTTTATATCTTTAAAAATGTCAATAGTTCATGAGATACAAGGTAATTTCTTGATTATTGACAATTGATAATTAGAAAGAAAAATATTTTATTCAAAAATAAGGAATTTAATTTACTATAAAAAAAAAAAAGTTTTTTTTGATTTTTAAAATTCTTAATTTTTACTGAGAAATTTTGAATTTAAAACAACAAAAATCCTTCTGTGATTTTTCATCCCAACAATTTCGCATTTTAATTATCATATTAAAAAAAAAAGAACAAGTGGATGTTTTAATTAAATCTTCGCGGAAACATTAAAAGTTTTTAGCTTTTCCGTGCGCGTTTTTGCGATTTTAAAATGTTCCTACGCAAGATAGAGACTAAAAAAGCCCCATCCCCTTTCAAAAAAAAAAAAAATATTTAAGGAAACACAAGCGCCCGGGATCCGGGTATCTCACTCTCCTCCTTTTGCTCTTTCTTCTCCTTGTTCTTTTATTTCTATTTACCTCGAATAAAAAGTAAATACAATAAGAGCCGGTAAAAAGTGCAACCGCAAAACAAAAGAGCCGACTTCTTAACGAAACAAATTGTTGCTTCTGTTGAGGAGAAGGTGGAGGAGGAAGAGAAGGAGAATTTAAAAACTTTTCCGACGAGTTTTCTTTCCCAACAAAGTAAAACCTAAAGTACAACCTCATAACTTGCATTTTATTTTATTATTTTAACGTCCGATATTTTTCTTCTTCTTCTTTTGTCTTTTTTTCGGGATTTTTAGCGACACAATTGAATGCTCGTTAGTGGAAAAACTTTTTTCGGCACTTTGGCAAGAGAGGAGACTTTAATTGTACGGGTACTTGAAGTGGTCAACTTGAGCCTCATTTAGACATTCCAGATTTTAGGTCTTATGAATTAAGATCTCATTAAATTCTTTTGTAGAAATTGTAAATGGCTATTGAAGAAAAAATTTGAGGACTTGGGACAAGATTTTTTTTTTTATTCTTCAATTTTAAGTTAAAAAAATCTCTAATTAGACTCTAAAAATTAAATCTTCAAATTTTGGGTTAAAAATTAATAATAAAAAAATTATAAGAGACCTTTTTTTGGGAAATTTAATTTTCTATCTAATATTTTAGATTTGATGTAAAATTCTGAATTCTGACTAAAGGGTTGGAGATAAAAAAATAGACTTAGAATTTTTTTAAAGCAAATAAAATTTCCCATAAAAAATGTCTCATGAATTTTTAAATATTTTGAATATTTAGTCCAAAAAATTTTGAGTTTTAATTTTCATAAAAAGCACGATTTTTTATCAGGATTGAGATCTTAAACTTTGACCTCAAATTCTGACTAAAGGGACAGAGATATGAACAAAATTGATGACCTAATCGATAGGAAATTAAATTTCCTATAAAAAAGGTCTGTTGTGATTTTTTAGTCTTGGATATTTCAGCCAGAAATGGATTATCAACATAATAGGTGACTTAAAAAGCAACAAAATAAATATTATTATTTTCTTCGAAGGTATTTGTTATATTTTCTGCTATTTCCGGGATATAAATCAATCTTACAAGCTAGACTCGGAATTTGAGGATTAGCAAAAAAGAAAATCAAAAACGTCTACGTTATATGACATACTTAATGTCCGACTGTAAATGCCGACGAATTTAAAAATTTATTTTTAACAATTACGCACGTTTGTATTATACACTAAGATTTTCTTTGCCTTTTTTCGTTATTTTTACGCGGTGATATTTTCCTACTAGCTGATCTATGATTAGAAAATCCTCCGAATGACGTCTAAAAATTGCGCTTTAAGATTACAAAGGAAAAAAAAATTATTTGAAATCGATTTAACAGTAGCTCGGAATCCTCTTGACCAATTTAATTTTTTTCTTTACTCAAGTTAAATCTATAATAGAATTCCGATGGGCAGAATGCTAAAAATCAGTAATTTTTCTAACTTCACTAAATTAAAACATTAAACACAAAAAAGCGTCCTGTGAGTCACGACGTGGAAATAAGGGATTGAAGGTGACGATATAATTGGATTTTAATTCACGCTACAACTGCGGTATCACCGCTGCCAAGGGAGCTTACTAAAAAAAAAAAAAATTAATAACTTGCCGGAAAAAAAATAATCAAAACTAAAATCCACTTACTGGGTTTTGAAAACACTCGAGATATTTATTAAAAACTTTGATGCGTCGTGAATATTTAGTCAGGGTCGGAAAAAGTAATAATAACACACTAGAGCTCTTATTATTTATTACAATAGCCGCCATTTTGTATTGATTTTAGTAGGGTATTTTTTTTTGCAACACTTATGTCGCCCTTGGTTTAAAATTGCATAAAGGCGCGCGGGTAGATCTTAAAAACTAACCGGGCTGTGAACATAAGAGAGGGTGTTAACTATTGGTTCCACCCCTGGCAGTAACTTCTTTCATTCGTTTATTTTTTCCACCGTGGCGGCGCTAAATATTTCGCAATATGCAAATCTTTTATAATTGATTTTTTTTATAAGGGCGGAGAAGTTTTGTGTCTTTTAAGAAAAGAAATTTTAATTTACTGTCAATCGTTTTGTCGCTTTTATTTCACTCTTTTTATTTTTTTATATAAACATCGAAAATAAATAGAATAGGTACTAAGGGATGGGGATGAATTGAAACAAAGAGAAGAACCGTTATTTAAATAGTGTCGAAATGCAAAAAAAAAAGTACATCAGAAATATGTACCTTGGGCTGGTTGAAGGGGTTGCAACGTGAGAACTGTTCTTGGATGAGGTACGAGGTCTTCTCATCATCCGTGGGGTTCGCTGAGACAATGGATTCACCTATTCAATTTACATTTGCCCCTTTCCATATATTTTGCCAAAAAAAAAATTTTTTTTTTCTAAAACATTCCGGTTTCGGGGTTTCAATTGCGGCAGCTGCAAGGGTATCATGTTTTAATATTCTGTGTTCATTTTATACACTTTATACACTTTAGACTCATCACTAACTTTATAAAATTTAGATAAATGTTATTTATTGCTCTTCAAAGTTTCAAGGTTTCAATTTTTTAAATTTTTTGACAAAAAATTTTTTTTTTGTCATATGTGATCATATATATGGCATTTTTGATCATATATGGCCATGTATATGGCATTTAGAATCATATGTGGCCATCTATATAGCATTTGTGGCCATATATGGCATATTTTACAATTTAGAATCACATATGGCATAAATGGCCAAATATATGGCATTTGTGACCATATATGGTCACATATATGGCGTATTTTACAATATATTATCACATACATGACATTTGTGGTCTTATATGACAACATATGACATAAATTACGATATATGACCACATATATGGCATTTGTGACCATATATGGTCCCGTATATGGCCTTATATACGACTATATGACATGTATTACGATATATGACCTCATATGTGGCATTTTTGAACATATATATGGCCACACATATGGGATATATTACAATAAATGACCATGTATTTGGCATACATGGCCATATTTGATCATTTACGGCCATATATATGGCATTTTATGATCTTATATGACCATATTAGGCATATATTACGATATATGACCACATTTACGGCATATATTACTATATATAAGCCTTTATATGGCATATATGGCATTCTGATCCTGTATAGCCATATATATATATATATGACATATATTACAATGTATGGCATATGTGACCTTATATATGGCATGTGTGACCATATATATATGGCATATATGATCATGTATGGCACATGTGATCATATATGACTTAAATTTCATGACTTAGGTAAAAATCTGAACATTTTTTGCTTAAATAAAAATATATTCAATTTACACATGACCACATATAAGTCATATATGATTAAATATGAACATATATGATTTTTA